TCGTAAAATTTGGGGCCGTCTGCTCGACTGTAGGGCTCAGTATGTTGAAATGAAGTTTTGTGGTGTATTATATGGGACAGAGGGTGTAACGATACACCCATTTTACACCCTTTTTCTTGAGAGTGTACGTTTTTGACCAACCAGACAGATTATCTGTAAAACGTTCAGCTTTTATTAAAAAAATGCTCGTCGTTGTTCATCAAATCAATTACTTGGCTAAATATATTTTTGTGATGTGTTTCGATTTTGTTTTTTGCCCTGAGCCTAGAAAAAATCAAGTTTGCAATATTTTTTCTTGGTTTCATCAAGGGGCCATGAACCGATTTTAAAAGCGAATTTCATTCACCGCACGTCGTAAAAGGTGTAAAAAAAAGAAACACAAAAATAGACAAAAATTCGAGAGACGCATTCAATTGCTAGACTACCAACTGCGTTTGATGACACAGTTCATCTTCATGAACTAGCTAAGATCGTTTAAAACATAGCTTGCTTCACTTTTTCCTTTTTTTTCTGGGGGAATGGATGGCCGAGTGGTTTAGCGTTAGTTGATTTAGGTGTTAGTTGATTTGAACAGCAGGAAGGTTAGTCTGCCAGAGCATGGCGACATTGTTACCCACTCTGTACAGGGTGTCACAAAAAAAAATTTACACGGTCTTTTTTACCGCAAAAATAAACTAGGCATCGCCAAACGCTCATTTTCCGCCCAAAGGTAAAGCTAGAGGCAGTCTTGAATAGTAACGCGTTACTAGTAACGCGTTACTGTAACTTCGTTACTTTTTTGGTAACTTGTAACTGTAACGAGATACTTTTTAGAAATGTAACTTGTAACTGTAGTTCTATTACTTTTTTTAGGTAACGATGAAAGTAACGAAGTTACATTTGTCGTTACTTTCCAGTGTTTTATGAATAATATATCACTGGACAAGTGTAATTTAGGCATTCCTTGCACTTTCCAAATCGTCTATTCCGACATTTCGAGTGTCAAGTTGGCCTTGCACAAAGTTGTGGATACTTTCTTTCTCACGAGTCACGACCCGAGTATAGCCACGTGTAGATTTATGAAAACATATCCAGTTATCTTTACGCACGCGCTTGTACTTTGTGCCTGAACACTTACATCTTAGTGTCTTCAAGCACTACCTATGTTGTGGTTTTTTTTCTTTTCTGTGCATACATGTGAAGGGCACTGCGCATGTCTCGTATTTTGATCAGCGCCACTACTACGCACAGTGCTTGTTTCGTATTTTGATTTGCGCCACTACTCTGGCGTGGAAACTTTCAAACACTAACTTCGAGAAGCAACGGCTGCTAAGTTACAATAAGAAGTAAAAAGCGTACTTTTTCATTTTATGCAATAAAACGTTGTGAAGGGCGTTTTCTAGTTTTTTCTAAATTTTTTGTGTTATAAAAAAGTAACTGAAAAGTAATGTCGTTGCTTTTTAAAAGTAACTGTAACGAGTTACTCCTTTGCTGTGGTAACCGTAACGGTAACTTCGCTATTTTTTTTCTGAAAGTAATTGTAACTGTAACGAATTACTTTTTAAAGTAACTTACCCATGACTGGCTAGAGGTCACAACCAGATGCCAAAGTTTCAGCCCGATCCGATAACTTAATCAGAAAGTTATAAGTGATTTTCTGAAAAGTTCAATGGGAAAATGGAGCGCATTTTTGCCTGTTGTCGGTTTCTGGTGCCATAAAGCCCCTTATGTTCGAAAACTCCGACGGCCAACATTTTCCCATTGAAATTTTCAAAAAATCACTGCGAATGTTTAAATAAGTTATGGAATCGGGCTGAAGCTTTGACATTTGGCTGTGACCTCTAGCACTATTTTTGAGTGGAGAATCAGCGTTCGGCGATGCCTAGTTTATTTTTGCGGTAAAAAAGACCGTGTAAATTTTCTTTTGTGACACCCTGTAGATGAGCAATTTAGCCCGTGTAATACAGCCGCTAGCCTAGGGTCTTTGACGTGCACCACGCAGTAGTGATACACAACCACACGCCGGTACGATGCTCATCCAGATCGAAACGGTCACGGGCGGGATTGAGCCCAGGATTCCTGGGTTGTGCAGCGCGAGCTTTTGCTCCACGTGCTCCGAGCTGGTGGGCGCTAGACCACTTGGAGGCTACCGATCCCCCTGTATGCTTCGAAGATGCCTGCAGACACCTTTTGTACGGCCAATTTAACCGTTATACAAGGAATACCTCTGACAGTATCTGCAAGACTGTCTCTGCAGGGGTGGAACGGCTGCGCCATTTGCGCCATTTTGCGCCAGACGCATGTGTCTGCGCCATCCTGCGCCATGTTGCAGAAACTGCGCCACAGCCAATACCTCGCGCCATTATGCGCCAAATCGCAAAACGTGCGCCAAAAAAACGTTTTATTTTGTCTTGGTTTCGGTTTTTATCGACTCGATTGTCAACAATGAGGGCGTTTAGCCTGGTCGGCCTTGCAATCCCTTGTTCTGTTTATTCCCCTTGTCTATCCCGAGTCGGAAGCCCGCGAAAAAAACTCTGATTCTAAGCGCTACACCACCTGCGACTGGATTGTTACTCTTCAACCATAAGCGGTAGGGCAAGTAGGCCGAAGGTGAGGTCGAGTCGTTAAGCGTCAAATTGCATGAGGCTCTGCGGCCCGGGATCCGGACGTCATCCAGTCGAAAGCAAATGAGCAAAATATTCCTTTTTGGTGCTTCATCGTTAGGAGTTGAAAGCGCATTCTTGCAAGATAAATCGTGATTTGATAGAACTAAAACGAGGTCCGATCCGAAATCCTTGCCGGTCAGCAGCTCTACTTATCTGCTCGGCGTACTTTAACCTTGCTGCTGCTTATCGCTTCAAATACGATAACTTCGTTAATCGTAGTCTGCTGCTTCGATATCGAGTTGCACAATAGGATAAACTCGAAATTTGTTGCCCTGTTCCTGCGTGCAACTGCACGTCCGTTGTTTACGCACGTCACGTGGTTCGCACATATAATTACTATGTCGAGCACGTGTGGGTTGTGCGATAAGCAGAGCTGGTTTGCATCTTGAGCGTCTGAAGGCCACTCAGAAAATATCAAGGACGCTATCTTCAGAAACATAGAGTACTTGCTGTTTGATTCTCATTAGGGCTCACAAAGATTCAAGTTTTCGCATATATTACACTGTTATCCCCTCTACCTAGGTCCCTAACCGCTCATGTTCATCTCTGCTGCTAAGCACAATTGAAGTTGCTTTCGTGCTTGTCTAAGATAGAAGCTGAAGTGCAATGCAAACTGATCTGAGCTGCTCCTAGCCTGCTCCAGAATGTAGTTTTAGCTGCTCCCAACCTGCTCCAAAACCGCTGTTTCAGCTGCTCCCGTGGCTGCTCCCAAGTACATTTCATGAGTTCCACCCCTGCTCTGGTATGATGTATCGGCAGTGTGACTGCGCCTTGTAAGTAAATGAATCGAAACTTATGCGATATGGGACTTGGAAACAGTCTGAGCTAGCGTTCGCTGCCGGTCACTTAATCGGGCAAATTCAGTGTGAGGAAGGCTGCTTACGAGCCAGCGCAGAGAAAGGGAAGTCTGAAACACCGCGAAAACTTCGTGCCGATCGAGCGCAATATAATATTTTTTTTTTTATGTCTCGCAGTGTTTTTGGACAGTTTTTCGAATCGCCTGAACTCGGCGGGAAAATCGCACACACCAACACGCGGCGGCCCTGACGTCACGCCAGAGCGGTGGCGCTGGTGTCGGCTTGGCACGCATGCGCAGTCGTGGCACCTCACTCAAATCTCACGAATCTCGAGTGTGTGGATATGAAGGGCACCTTCATGCGCAAGTCAGAGGGTACTTTCTCGTGGACAGGACCGTCCTTACAGCAACGTCCGCTGCTCTTCTCTGATTTCAACTAAAAATACAGCCACACGCAAGAATCACCTAGGCTTTAAAATAACGTTTTGTTCAGGTACACGGACAGTTTTTAATGCAAACAAAAGACAGCGGGCGCTCGATGGAAACCAGGTCAAATTCACGGGGTCGGGCCGGCGATGCTATTGATCCAGGCGACCTGGGTAGAGATTCTCGCTAGCACGGAGGGCTCCATGCGCGCCGCACACTCGACGCCCCACGACATACTTCCGGCCAGCACGTAGCGTCCGTCGGACCTGGCGCACTGCAGGGGCCCCCCGGAGTCACCCTGGCAACAAAGAGAGCGCGCGGTTGCAACGGATAGCCTGAGGCCACAGCCGCACTTCGCACACTTCATGCAGAGGTCACGGAGTTTCTCTGCAGACCTGATCTGCAGACATACCTCAGACATATGTTCGAAGCATGTTTGCATTGCCTGTATGTCCAGTGTGAAAGGATCACAAACAAGGAAGAAACATGCTTCAGAGGGTGTCTGCAGTCTGTCTTTTGTATGATGCATTACCAGGGTGACCACGACTCAAAAACGACTTAAAGATTTCATCTACATAAAAATAATGTATAATTCCCCGTTTTTTTGTTTTGTTTTCTTCTAAGGGGGGTCATATTTTGCTTTGAATTCGGGGTTGTTGTTATTCGGGATTTATTTGCTTCCACGAATTCGTCCTTTTCTCGTGTCAATGTTTGACGTCCAAAAATATTCGGCGTTTATCGGGTCTTGTGTGGAAAAAAACTGGACACGGACATGAGATTGCCCCAAAGACAAGACAAGTAAACAACACAAACGTTGGGAACAACTTTCCGGTATTTCTAAGAAAAGGAATTGGGACAGTGGACGTGGTTCCCTGAGAAAGCACTGGCCTCGCGGACAGTTCAGCGCCGGCCGTGTTCTAGATGAAGACGAATTAAAGCTGCCGATAAAGACCCCAGTTTGACTCCCAGTCTGACACGTGTTCCAGGAGCCGTGATGAAAATTAATTATTGCGCGGCATCCGTGTGCTATAGAAAAAAAACAAAGGCGCTATTGGCCAGTTCGTGGACATCAGTATGCCTTCGTTTACAAAATTCCGCTCTGGGGTTCAGTCTAAATACCACGAATTTCTTACCTGACAGCTTCCTTTTCCGCCGGCTTCGGGACCGGCACAGATCATGGTGCTTTGTACAACCGGATTAACGAAACGGTAGTAATCGTGGCAGGTTGTGTAAGCCACGATGGGCAAATCGACCTTCTGAAGGGATTGGGATAGGTTTCTTCCACCCCGGGACTCTGCAGGGAGAAGACGAATAAAGCAGGAGTCAAGGTCCATTATCATTTACCCATGGTATCCGAACACTGGGTGGTTAGTATTGGTCAGTCGTTTTTACAGCGGAGCTGTAAAGGGCTAATTTCCCCAGGATCGTGTGCGTCCTAAATGGCCTGATGACACAGCACTCTGGACAGCTACCGCCATCTATGAGCGACGGCGGCAGCCAGACAACCGACTTGCCAATTGTCTGCTTTCCGCCGTCGCTCATAGATGGCGGCAACCTTTCGAGCATTTCCACTCTGGCTTGCCGACTCGCAGCCGGGCATTACTTCATTCCCACCACAGTAGTACAGCTTCGCTGGTCTCCCTTCTTCACACGAGTGGAAAGGCTGCAGGTTTCTTTATGTATTTAATAAAAGCATAAATGATAACGTTATCTACGCAAAATAACAGGGGAAGGCTATACTAGACTAAGCCTCCTCCCCCAAAACACAAAGCAAAAAACAAAACAAAAAAAAAATTACAGGAGGACACTTAAGACTGCTTACGTGTGGGAATGCGAAAGGATTCCTACGCGCAGTGCATTCCCACAAGCAGCGGGCCAAGCTGTCGTCCGCAGAGGCTGGCCGGGCGGCGCGACATGGCTGAAAGCAGAGCGTACAACCATAGCCTCCTCTATAGACGTTTCCAATGATTACAAAATCACAGTCCGGCGTGAATTCTTCACAGCCCAGCACGTGTGTGTTCGTCGCTTCAGAATGCGAGCAAAGCACGTGCCGTACGCACTGTCACTCAAAATGGCACTGGCCACACGCTCTTTTTTTGGAAAGGTCTATGCTGACAAAGCCTGGCAGATCGCCACGAGACGCGGCCGCCGAAAGTAAAAAGGCAGAGCGGCAGACAAGATGCGTGTAAAGCGCGATCCAAACCAACGCGTTTTTGTGCGCGCGTAGGTCGTGCGCTTCCCGGAAATTGCGTATTTTGTGACGTTTTTGCTGTTTCCGGTGTGTGTTTAGAGTCACAAGCATGCTCGTTGGTTAGGACGGTGCGTTTTCGGGCAAGAGGAGAGCATCTGCGCCAGACGGCGCAGAAACGCGGAGAGGGAACTGGTGCCCTCCACCAATAGATCGATCTCACCAGGAGTTGCGCGACGCCACCGCTGCCGCGGTGGATTCTGGTACCTGTAGTTCTCCCCAGTTTTCCGGCCGCGTCGATGCGCGTTGTACGCCAGGCGTTTTGAAGTTTTCGGGTTAGCACGAGACTTTTAGCCGGGTGTTTACTCATGGTTTTCAATCGGTGGCCTCACAGGGTTGTATGCCACGGAGCTATAATAACAGCACCAGTCAAAAAGGCCTCGGATATTATGTCTTCCCGCAAGAAAGAAGCATAGCAAAGAAAGGTCAACTGAGCCGGACAGAGCGGCAGGAAAAATAGCGTTTTACGATTTGTTTCGCGATTTGCTTCGTAATTTATATCGAACCTATTGCACGTCACCTAAAATGTGTAAGATTACAGAGCACGAGTCATAGAGCGTGCGGAAGTGTTCCGTAAGCTGGAGTCTCTCTGACCATATGCTCCGCGGCCTATTCCTTGGTCTATCTCAAATAGGACCTCCGAACTGCTTTGCGGGGGCTGTTTTTAATACACTTCTTGCTCGATGTATTTTGGGGGTTATAACTGTTATTGCGACGACATGTTTCAAGCACAACTGTACTTCAAGAAATCAGGACAATCACTAAAAAAGAGCAGCGCATCTCGATATGCACCACTTGAAATAAGACAGACGTTTCGGAAGCAGCCTCCATTTTTTTTTATACAAACGTGAAAAGATTCCACAATGCAATTTAGAAGTGGAACACGTATTTACCGCCAAAAATGTAAGAAACAAACCTCATTCATTTTGTGGTGGTCTATTAGGCAGGTGTTACTGATCCATTCTGCATTAGCACCAGTCGAGACCGCAGAAAAAAGCTTCCCCCGTCGGGCAACTGTTAGCGTTCGGATCCTTCCGCAAACAAAATAAAAGTGAATAGAAACTGTGCACGAAAAATCATCTCCACCCCAAGCTTTCAGGTATCTGGCATGGTTGCTTCTTTTTGATTGATGCCAGTTATTACGGCGCGTCAGGCATGGCCTTTCTCTAGATCAGTACTTTGTGTGCAGGCTTCTCCCGCTGTTCATCGGTACTCTGTGGCACAGGCTGTCAATGAGAATGAAACAACATTTAGAAAACTATCGCTGACCAAGAAAGTCTATTTAGCTCCTCTTACTTGATGGCTGATTAAACGTTATGCACAAGACTGAGCACAACCAAGCTCAGTTTTTCATCACATTTGATGCTGTTTCGTGGTGCTACACCGAGCCAATGGTCCCTCGAATTTCGGTGTTCTTTGCCATTGCACTAGATGTTCACTTGTTTGCAAGGTAATTGAGATGTCCGAGGAGTCGGAATGCTCGAGTAGTGTCGCCGTTGTTTTTGTGTTTTGTGTTTCCGCGGCCGGCAGTGGGATTACCCCGTGAACGGCAGTGGGCTCACGCGTTCACGAAGACGAAGAAGCAGACGACAAAGCGATTCTAAAGCGATAAGACGACTGAAACTGCTTTTCTGCAGTTGCTGAGGAAAGTAAGGCATCACAAACAACACAATTGTATGAATTAAAAACATGCAAGAGAATCAAGGTCATACCGGGATGTGCTAAATGATAATATATGATGATGTATGTACGTGCAGCCGTATGTAGCCGGGAAGGGATGACTACAAGTAGCATGGCGGCGGCACCTTTTCCGGAATGCGCGCGCCTGCGCAGTTTGCTTGGTGACATCGGTCCATTAGCCGGGAGAGGATATGGGAGAGGAGTGCCCTACTACGTCACAGGGCGTTTAATGCGCCTTCAGAAAAAGTCGGAATTATCCAACTTCCTTGTGCGCGCCGGGAAGGCGCAAGGAGTGAGGGCGACGTCATGAAATACGCAATTTCCGGGAGTCGCACGACCTACGCCAACACCAACTGGAAAGGGAGAAAGCTTCGGTTCTGCCCCCTTTCCACTCTTGCTACGTCAGCTAATGGAGCGGCTGCGAGAGACGGCTCGACGGGTCCGGGCCTGTCAAGGCATGTCGCCCCATTGCAGGTGCGGCTGAACCAGTCCCCCGCAGAATCGACCTGCTTCCGAGTGTCTTTTTCGACGGGCATATCTGTTCTGTCGATTTTCTCGTTTTTTGCGCGTCGTTGTGAGTTTTTTCGTGTCTCTGCAAGCTTGAGAAACGTGAAAACAGCGACGGTGAGATGCCGTGCAAGTGCTGTGTGCCGCGATGCCGCGGAAACTACACCGTGGACACCAAAGTGCGCGTGCTCAAATTCCCAAAGGATCAAACACTGAGGGACGCATGGATACGCGCTGTGCCGCGGGAAGACCCCTCCGTCACCGAGAATTCAAGGGTAAGCTTTCTTTTTGGTAGAGAATTAATTGTTTCATTGCAAATGGAAATTCAATATATATGTATACATTCGTATAAATGTGGCTCGCAATCCGCACTTTATGTCAAATACCCATTGGTTTGTTCATTGGACGCAAAATTCCTCTCTAGGTATGCAAACTTCACTTCGGATATGAGGACCTCATCCGAGAGCCATCGCATACCGAAAGTACTGGCCGCACCATCACAGTGCCCTTATCTCATGTCCGTCTTTGCCCTGACGCTGTACCGTCGAAGTTCCCTAGCTGCCCGACCTACCTGTCTAGGGAAGCCACAAGAAGGGAAGATCCCGAGTCTAAGCGGGCGAGCATGGAGCATGCTGCTATGCAAAAAGCTATCGCGGAGTCCGATGAGATGTTTAACAGGGCACATGAAGAGGAGAAAGTTAATTCTTTAGCAGAACTAATCGGACACTTGCGGAGCAAAGAGATGAAGTTTCGGAACATAATAGAACAGGACGAAAGGCTTGTTATTATCGACGATGAGGCCCCGTGGCTGATGTACTCTGTCTGCGTAAAAGAAAAAAAGTGCCCGCGAGGTAAATTGGTGCGACAACTTCTCTTGAACAGCGCTCCGCACATTTACCAATCCGCCCTATCGTGTGACGTCACGGGAAATGAGCTAAGGCTTTATACGTTTCTAGAGGGTGTTGCCTACGCGCGCACAAAAACGCGTTGGTTTGGATCGCGCTTAATGGGCGACCCTCTGCGGCGAGACGCCGAAACACACTTGTCCCGAGCGATGGAATGCCCGCTGGTGCCTCTCCCGTTCCTCGGGCGACCGCATCTTTTCTCGTCGGGTTTGAAAACCATGTTTCGGGTCCTCGCCGCTGCAAAAGCTGTGCGCTGAATACCAGACTCTCCGGGAAATTCTCTGTGCTTACACACCCTCGCGCTCCAAATCTGCGACCGGGCGCTCTATGGCTCCGTCACCGAACTGCCAGAGTTTGTGAGTATAGAGGAGGCTATGGTACAACACGTGATGCAGTAGTGCACAGGGAGAGGGAGGCAAATTTTCCCGCTCCCCCTCTCCCCCCGTCCCCCCCCTCCGGCCACGCCTGTCTCGTGACCCAAGAGGGAGGAAAGTGTGGAGAGGACGCACGCGCCACCCTCTCTCTTTTACCGACGCGCGCGCCGCACCGCAGGCATGAGGGCTTCTCCGTGAGGTGGCGTTCCTTGGAACTGTAACGCGTCGCAGCCAATCGGGATTTAGCCGCGGTTTTTTGCTGCTATGGGTAATCTTTTGCGGCCACAGAAATCCTGGCGTCTCTCCATAAAGCAGCTAATGCTCGCGCATTAGATTGATTTACATGCAACGCAAAATGTAACGTTGTCTGGCGGGGGAATACTGAAGGCCTCGTAGTTGAAGTGGTTAACACTTTATCTACCACAACCATCAAAGAGTCACAGACACCACAACCATGAAAGAGTGCACTGGTAGAGTATAGCGTAAATGTCCAAGGCTGTTTCCCGTTAACGGCATTGGCAACAGCAAATGAGACAAACTCATTGAAGTTGCAGTTGAGAGCAATCCCGAGTTAGAAACCACCATACAGGAGTTCTAGTTCTTTATGTTGTGTGTAATAACACCATCCACGGTTATTGTCTATTCAGCGACTGTCCGTTGTATTCACGCCTAAAGGATTTCTATATGTTCCTCTTGCGGGGCAAAGCATCACAATGGCCTCAACTTTTTGACTCCAGGTATTGCGGGAGAAGCGACCGTCATTCTCGCAGGAGACGCGACGGGTGCGACGACATACGGCGGCAGCTCACCGCGCATGCGCTTTTGGGCGTCTCTCGGGTTCCTCGGAAGCTCCCGCGCGCAGGCACTCCGTGGTCGGTTGTCGTGTCGTCTGCTTGTACATGGCCGTGTTGAAACAGCGCTTGCATTATAATAGATAACGCAATTACGCTCACGTTTTAGTGGCATACAATGTCCGAAGGTTCAAGAACCTTTGTTCTTGTCAGGCTTCAGTCCAATATTAAACACTACGCGCACGCTCAGTGAACAATATGTCCGGCCCCAAACCGGGTACCCCACAAGGTCACTTCCCCGCAAGCACCGTAGTAGAATTTGTCGCAAGTGACCCCTTCTGCGCCAATGAGGAGTTGGCGGAGAAAAAAGAAAATTGATGCTCTGGATTCGCCATTTGGTTACTATTAGCTATTCCCAGCCACGAACAGAAACAGATACCGACCGTCTTTCGTGAGTCCCCATCCGCTGGCGGTGCAGGTCATTCCGTCGAATTCCTGGTTGGGCGTCGGAAGGCAGATGGGCATGAGTGCCTTCTCGCTTCCCGTGAAGTTGAGCGGTCTCGCCAGCTTCAGCAAGGCGTAATCGTAGTTCACGGTGGAACGGTTCCATTGCGGATGAATCATGATCTGTGGCTCGAGAAAACATGTAAAATTATTTTTGTTAATTAATCCGAATGTTGAAGCAAACAGCTCGCTACTTCGGGAGTTCGATCCTCGCCCCTCTCTGTTGCGACGCCGAGAGGCATTGCACCGGTTTGCCTTCAAAAGCGGGCGACTGTGATGGGTATATTAGGGTACATATGGCACGAGCTCGTGGCATAAGTCGACGAAAACCAAAAACGTGGTGTTTTGTAACGTTTAGTTTGTTAAGATCTAAACCAAGAAATGTCTTTCACATGTTAAGGAGACCGGAATGAAAGTAAGAACAAAATATTTTTCAGGATCCCTTTAATATTTGAAGTTCTGGTTGGGGTGCTAACTTTTTTTATGGGAATATTTAACTTTCCTCTTGGGTTCTTAGGCTATCCTAGGGTGCCTTCATGTGCGCTTTGCTTAGGGTGGCGACATCTGGCCATTTTGTTCCCACCTTCAAATTTCTTTTTTGTTCAGAAGCGCGTGAAAGAGCGTGTCCCTGCACGCGTCACTGGCGCTGACTGTGCTATGGCGATATTTTGTTTTCGTCGATTTCTTTGTATTTTCCCCGTGAGCGCGTGCTGTCGGCATCGGGTACTACAAAGGGTGGCATCACTCTAAACAGAAGGTCATTGAGGCACCCTAGGCAATCCGAGAAATGACAGCCTTCCATGAGATATTTGAGTTCAAGAGAAAAAACGCACATGAAATAATTAGAAGAAAACAATCTAACTAATTTTGTCAGAACCGATCGATCAGCACCTTCTTGCAAATTGACGGCCATTGGGCTCTTTCCAGGTTAGATACATATGCGTAATCGCAAGTGATAAGGTTGTGCTTCTCGAAACAAATACGCGGACAAGGAGGTATACACGACGTTTCGGGCGGACGCCCTTCTTCAAGTAAGAGACGCGAAAGACGACAAGAAACAGGCAGGGGTCGGACACGTCACAAAGGTGGAGTTAGGTACATTGGCCGAGAGAGAGGGGAAGGCGAAACCGTTAGAAGACATGACGCCCTTTTCGCAAACCACCGTCCTAAAGACAAAAGGAACTCCTTTATAGTTATGTACCATCCTAAAGTCCCAAAACTAGCACATAAACTCCTCTCTGCAGCATCTCATCTGCACATCTCCCAACTAATTTCCAGGGCTCCTTCCGTCGCTTACCGCCGTCCACCGAACCTCCGCACCCTTCTTGTCAAAAGTAGCCTGAAGGCGAAAACCAACCCAGACCCGGCTGGCATCATACCTGGCACCACGCCCTGTAATGCTCCTGAACGCCTGACTTGCAGGCACCTTGGCTCCCCGCAACACTTTAAATTCAAAATTCCGGACAACCAGACCTGCAAGTCAGCCAATGTCATTTACGCCATTTCCTGCACGAGCTGCCCCGACATTTTATACATCGGAGAGACAGACCGACGGCCGCACGAACCATTCCGTGAGCACCGCCGTCTCGTCACCCGGAGATTGTCGGGAGACCTTCCTTCGGAACAATCCACACATGTAGTTGACCACTTCTCGACTTACGGCCATACGGAACTAAACTTGCGCGTCTGTGTCACCAGATCAGGCTTCCCCTCCTCCCAAGTACGAAAGAGAGAGGAAAACCGCCTGATCTTCAACCTCAAAACAGAATTCCCCATTGGCCTTAACACCAAACTTTCTTTCGTGTACTAAATTTCTGTATTAGTCTAAATGTTTTTTTTTTTTTTTTTCTGGGCGTTTTAAAATGAAAGCCGTTTACAACTACCTGTAACGCCGCATTAGAGCGCAGCTCTTGAGGAGGAGGAGGGAAGGGTATTGAGGTGCACGTGTTCTGGGGGGGGGGTCACGTGACCTCGGGGGGAAGGGAGGGTCACGTGACTGGGTGCGGTCACGTCACCTTCGTGGGGTCACATGTCCCCCTCCCCAAGCACGCGGGGGGGGTCACGTAACCTGGGGGTGTCACGTGACCACGGGGGTCACGTGACCCCCCAGAGGAATTTTTCCGCTAGATTTAGTGGGGAAAGTTTTTCCGCTAGACTTAGCGGGGAAATTTTTTTCCGCTAGATGTAGCGGGGAAACTTTTGCGCTAGATTTAGCGGGAAAATTTTTCCGCTAGATTTAGCGGGGAAATTTTTCCCCTAGATTTAGTGGAAAAATTTTTCCGCTCGATATAGCGGGAAAACTTTTCCGCTACAATTTGAGAAGAAATGTTTCCTCTAGATTTAGCGGGGAAATTTTTTCGCTAGATTTAGCGGGAAAATTTTTTCGCTAGATTTAGCGGGGAAATCTTTCCGCTAGATTTAGCGGGAATTTTTTTCCGCCAGGTTTAGCGGGGAAATTTTTCCACTCGATTTAGCGGGGAAATTTTTTCCGCTAGATTGAAAGGGGAAATTTTTCCGCTAGATTTAGCGGGGGAATTTTCACTCTAGTTTTAGCGGGAAACTTTTTCCTCTAGATTTAGCGGGGAAAGTTTTTCCGCTAGATTTAGCGGGGAAATGTTTTCCGCCAGATTTAGCGGTGAAATTTTTCCGCTAGATTTAGCGGGGGAATTTTCACTCTAGTTTTAGCGGGAAACTTTTTCCTCTAGATTTAGCGGGGAAAGTTTTTCCGCTAGATTTAGCGGGAAAATTTTTCCGCTAGATTTAGCGGGGAAATGTTTTCCGCTAGATTTAGCGGATAAATTTTTCCGCTAGATATAGCGGGAAACTTTTCCGCTCGATTTAGCGGGGAACATTTTTCCGCTAGATTTAGAGGGGAAATTTTTTCGCTAGATTTAGCGGGGGAATTTTCACGCTAGATTTAGCGGGAAACTTTTTCCGCTCGATTTAGCGGGGAAATTTTTTCCGCTAGATTTAGCGAGGAACTTTTTCTACGGGAAACCTTTATCGCTAGATCAAGCGGGGAAATTTACCCATAATGCACCGCGCGGTTACGCCGACGGCGGCGGCGACGTCGACGCCGCTCAAGCCGGGAACGGGCGCCTAAGAGCTGCGCTCTAAAACAAGATCCTTTTCCTTTTTTTATTTTCATATTTTTTTTTTCCGGTTGCGCAATTGAAGCGACGGGCGCGCTTGCACAGCCGCACGGTCGGCACTTGCTGTGCGCGAGTGCATGGTCCTTCGGGACTTTGACTGCGTAACCGGGGATAGTCGCTCCCCAGCTGGTTTGCCGCTTCTGTGATGTAGTGGATTTCATGGAATTTCCTTTCTGCCCTCGCTTTTCTACTTTCTTTAGGAGCCTTACCGTTTGCCCTCGCGCGTCCTTTCCTCTCGCCCGTAGAAGTTTTAATTACGTCAGTTCGCTATTCCGGCTTCTTTAACCTGTATCATGTTGCATATAGTGGGAACACGTACTTCCGGTTCCAAAGCGTTCTTCATCCGAAGGTTTTTGCCGTGGGGATCGGAGGGGGCGGGAGGGGAGGAGGGAGGGTGCTGGGGGGGGGGGTGAAAAGAGGGGAGGGGGAAGGCTGAGCATGACAGGTGCAGAGAATTCGAGTTCTTACGTTCGCCACTGCGATTCTTTGCTCGTAGGGATCTACCACGTTGAGGTTTTGGTCGCCAATCACAACAATATAGTTCGACGGAGACTTGTAGCCACTGAAATAAAAACAAACAAACTAATCAAGAGCCTAAAAGTTTCAGTGTGCTGTGGAAGTTCGATAGGTTTCCACATTTCTACTAAAATGAAATATTGTCACGAATGACAAGTGAAACAAAGCAAATATCTGAAGGAACTGAAACGTTTAATGAGGCCAACTTGTGCAAAAAATATAAGGGAAAAGAAAGATAACAGCGAAGCGTCGCGAGCGTCGAAGTCGGCGAATGAGCAGAGTCGAACGCTGGGACAAAAACTGACTCGACAAGGTCGCGGGCGAACTCTTATCTAAGGTGAGTCACTATCTCGAAGATTCGGCAGAGAAGGTTCGAGAGTAGCGCGCTCAGGGCGAGTATGAACACGCACTTTCTAGTACAACATAAGCAGGGATAAACGATAGAAGTTATGTCCGCAGCAAGAATAAACGAGAGCCTTCTACAAGTCCGTGACGCTACGCGCGGCAATATACTGACTTCTCTTATCGCGACCCCAACCATAATACCGGTGGCAGCCGTGGTAACGCTCCTGTTTCCGGTGAAGATGTCTTGTCTGTGTGCCGGCCACGTATTCCGTTATTTTTTTGCAAATAGAGGTCTTAGGGCCAAATGTGACATGCATTTGTCAAAACGGAACGCACAATAAAAGAAAAAAGTGAAAGTTTTTATATTTGCAAAGACATGGCGCTACGCATTACAAGTTTCTTGACCTGTAATGCATCCAAGTCGCGTTGTTATTCTTTAATTGAATAGATGATGTACTCGTGTGGTTTGTATTAATATTTCTTTCTTATTAGTACACTCACTTTTTTAATATTCGTTCATAAACGTTTTTTAAACGAATCGGAGATGTCGTAGCTCAGTTCCTGAACTCAGTTTCTTAACTGTCGTTTGAAGTATGAAGTAACTGAGTGTTTGAAGGGTCGTAACTCAGTTAAGTCTCGTGTATCACCGCCACTTTCTCGTCATCGTATGCCATTGATTTTGACTTTCAATGGATTGGTAAAACTTTTATTCATTCCATCAAGTACAGTTCATTTGTGTGTTCTTGTGTGTGTGTGTGTGTGAGAGAGAGAGAGAGAGACTAGGTGTGTGTATGTGCTTGCGTGTGTTAGTGTGCATGTTTGTTTTGTGCGCGTGTGTGCGTTTGTGTGTGCGCGCGCGTGTGAGAGTGTGTCAAAAAAGTTTTTCTATGTTAGGACAGTTTCGTTGAGAGGCTCGAGGCTCGGCTTCGTGAGAAGATGGCATAAAAGTCTTGTAAGTCGTCTCCTTTTGAAGCCGAGCCTCTCGCCGAGCACCACTCCTCTTGTTCTTCGTTCTTCCCGCGAGAGGGCGAGCAGCGGGCTGGAGTAACGATTACTCTATCTTCATTCCTTTTTTTGATTACACACAAAAAAAAAGGAAGCTGTTGTCAAGGTTCAAATGTTGGGTCAAGAAATATTCTAGCACTCTCGAATACAAGGAAAAGAATAATACAAACAATTTGACTTCTCAAAGGATGTTTATACTGCGCATTGAGAAATCTTGAGCATCTACGTTCCCGCGACGCACATGGGTGAGTCACTAGGGAGTTTTCGTACATTCTCTCCGCCGTCCCGCAACGCTTTCCGCTACCTGCTACGAGATCCAGAACTCTGCAGGCGAGGCTAGCGACGCGCATGCGCGATAGCGGCGTCTCCGTCGCGGAGGTAGCGCTGTGCGAAAAATGGTATACGAAAACTTCCTAATCGCCGCAATCTAGAGAGGGAGCTCGGTGAATGAAGAAATCTAAATTATGTTTAAACAAAAAATAAAGAAAAAACATTGTGCGTTCTGATACTGAGCGTGGAGTTAGAGCATGTGCAGTGTCGCTGCAGAATCACTTTTTCAGGCCTACAAATAGCTTTAAATACCTCCCTCCATTTATTGTGGTGATCGACCCTCTCAAGTGCTTTGCGAAAAGGTAGGCGTTTTAACATACTGGGGCTTATGGGAACTCCCAAAAGGGGAAAAGATTTAAGTGAGAATGGAATTGTCTTGCACCTGAAATGGAGCGCAGCCCGCGCGCTTTAAGCGACTGGTGACAGCTGAGAAAATCCGCCTTGCCCGGGAACGTTGACATACGAGTGTGTAAATATTCCCCACCTTGGGGACTTTTCCCGAATCTCATGATGTCAAATTATTCACGACTGATCTCACTCTAGCAGTATGATCAAGACTGGTGGAAACCGTTAACACCCGTTTGCTCCACTGACATGCCAACCCATGGTAAGCTCAGTTGGTAGAGCGTTAACCTTGGAGAGGCCCCGAGATCGAATCCCGGACCAGGCGGTTTTTGTCGGCATGCTCCACTTAGCAGCCAAAAGGATGTGAGCTGAGTCCCATTTCAGCTGAAACCAAAGTTATTTTAATTTGTCTGAAATCCTGTTCAATAAGGCGGGCGACTTACTCTAGGATGCAGTGAGCCGCCGTGTCGACGTATTGCTTGTTGATGATGGAACCGCCGCAGATGTGACCCAGATCTGTGTTCGGGAGCTGGATGAGGTGGAGGGAGATCTGCCAGGGGAACTCGAGCGGTGTGGCGGCCGTCCCACCCACGATTTGTGCGGTGCCACCCTGAACACTGCCGCTGGCAGCAGCTCCTCGGACTCCGCACACTTTATTATGGGAAAACAAGTTTAAAAACGTTTACTACTCCTTGTGATGCAAAATTAGAGCGCAGCTCTTGAGGAGGAGGAGGGGAGGGTACAGAGGAGAGAGTATGCCCCACCTCCTCTCGTGCTCCCCCCCCCCCCCCCCCATTTAATGGGAAGTTTTCGCTGCATTTCCAGCAGAATTCAGCGAAAAACAATTTCCCACTGGATTTAGCGGGAAATTTTTTCGCTAAAGCGGGCAATTTTTTCCGCTACGTTTAGCGGAAAATATTCAATCTTCCTCTTCCTACTCACTCATGACGTCACACCTGACATCACATGAGACATCATTCGGGAAAACGTCCCATAATGCAACGCGCGGTTACTCCAACGCTGCCAGTGGCACCCGTTCGCGGCTTGAGCGGCGACGCCGCTCAAGCCGGAAACGGGCGCCCATGAGCTGCCCTCCAATATGCCCATATTCACGCCGAGCTGAGTAGAACTCGTCCTGGGGTGTACGCTTTATGGCGTAGCTATCGCCGAGGCAAAACCTGAACTTTTAAAAGGGGGGCCCTCCGGAGGCTTTCTGACATTGTCTGCTTATGTTTTTATATTGCGTAGTAGGTGCAAGTTAGTATGTACAGAAAGTTTTAGATTACAAAACCGTTTAGTAAGCAGATGGCAGTAGAAATATATCGGGACTATTTTTTCTTGGAAGACAATTCCACATACCCTGCCGATCGCTAAAACTTGACCGATAGAAATGCTGCATCTCGCGTGAATGTGAACGTTGATATTGCAACATATTTAAGGTTGCTGTAAAATAGAGTTTGAGAGAAACATAAAATGATTGTGGTGCTGAAAACAAAGTTCGCGATTATCCTTCCAAAACCAGCGAACTATGTTTTCTCCCCGCAAGCTTGTTATTAGGGTGTGATGCGTCGGCACGTCTGCTTCCCGAGGCGTGTGCAGGCGTGCGTTTGCGGGACACCTGTTCCTTCCTCCCGTGGATCCCTAATCCGAAGCCAGCTTTGCGATCCTTCCACGTCAACGAGTCAAACTTTTCCTTGTCATCTGTGGAATACGACCGCGTATTGCAGTAGTTTCTTTCATACTTTGAGCGATTTCCCTGAAATGCCGAACAATTGTTTCGTCAAGACGTGCCACCATCAAACAGGGAAGAACGTTCGCAAGGGCCTGCGATTCTTCCCTTTGCCGGAGATAGAACCACGAAGAACTGCGTGGTTACGCTGCGCCGGGCGAGGGCACGACATCGACAACATGCCTCTGATTTCCCGTTTATGTGCCCAACTTTTCGAGCCGAGTGCTTTCCGAAAGGACGACTTGGGTCGTTCATGTCTTCGATCAGGTGCTTTGCCGACGCTTCTACTTCCCGTCGTCGATGAGACCAAGGATCCTCCGCCAAAGCGCCAAAAAGTTCTAGTGAGTTCTTCGATGACTCAAATATTTTTGGGAGTGTCATGAACATTCAATTCTGCGTTGCGCAGTGTGGCTGCTTCTGGTCTCTAAATTCTGAGCTTAGAGCTGAGGAGGCACTTGTGTAAAATGGGAATCCACATGGCATTCGTCAAGTTGATCATTGGTGCGTAATGCTCCGGTCTAGCGGTTCGAGAGCTTATCGCGAAAATGGTGCGTGCATGGGGTTCTTCGATTTCGGGTTTTACATTTTTCGAAAATCGGGGGGTAAAAATCGGGTGCTATTTTTCAGGGCGATAATCGGGGGGAAATCGTGTTTTTCCAGAAACCATTCCAAAATTCGGATTTTTGGGGGGTTTTATCGATCAAGTACAAAGACGTGCAATATGTTACTTAGATAAACAAAACTAAACAGAATATATTATATAGGCATAGGATGTTTGTACCTTTTGATCGGTTCTGAAGCGAATCTATGCGGAGGTCACGCAAATCGAAGACCATCAACGAATGACGAAGGAAACACCTTTTAAACAGATCCGGAATGGCTCCTATTTTCTATCAAGTCACGTGATTTCAACACTGCTTTTCGAAGACAAATCGGGTGTAACCTGATTTTCATCAGAACTGTTCGGGGGATAACAATCGGGTAATATCGGGTTTTACCCGAAAACGACGAACCATATCAGCACGCGCCACCAGGATCGAACCCTTATTTGTAAAAATAAAACACAAACAGAACCACCTTTCTCTACTATTGACCCACTCGAATTCAGTAAACATTTTCCCAGCTTGTTTACAGACACAAACCCGTTCGTATCAGCTTAGCGAAGCTCCAATTGTCCGTGACTACTAACAAGCAGTTTTTCTTTTATATCGACTCTTGTGAGCAAACTCAGTTTTTTTTTTCTTACTATCCTGCACCGACGACTGCGTGCAAACCCGCGTTTGCAATTTTATATGCATAAAGCAAATGGACTCCATAATTTTGTTGCTTAGTGGCACTTCTAGACGTTGAAAACCCTTAGCGGTTGCTGTATGTTTCCTACTTGCGGCTATGAGCACCCGTTTGTTGCATTTCCTTGAGTGGTTGGTAAATACAGGTCAAGGTGCAGCTTCACATATGTATGTAATGTGGCATCATATCGCGACATGAACATTTATGGTTTCTGAACTAGAGACCGAACATATAGATGGTACTGTAAGTTATAAAAACAAATATAAAGAGTAAGGCATCCCTTACATTTGTATTACAGCGTGAACGTTTATTGAGTGCAAGAAATTCTAAGCTATTTAAGAGCTGCAAAACAATTCATGGATGTTTGGCATGGTGATGACATTGTTTGGAGTGCTCGAGTTGCACCTTTAAAGCTTAAAAATATTAAATGTGTAATAAACAGTGCCCTTTGCAGACCCAGGCCTCGGCAACTGGACTGCCTGGACCCTGCGAGGCAGAAATGACCCTCAGGGACTGTTCTGCTGAGACAAATATTCCTGCAGTAGTGCCAGCTGTCCCTGTCGCAGATGTGCCTGCACCGTCGCATCCACATGAGTTAGCCTTCTCCACTTGTACAAGTTGGGTGCCATATGAATGCACATTTCCTGTTCCCAGCGACATCCCAGACTGACGCAACCTACTCTGCGTCTCGCAGCGAGGATTTTGAGATGTAAGTTGTGCATATAAACACATAGAATCTGCAAAGAATGTTTCACATGGTCCCATTTCAGAATCTAGCATGGTGCATCGGTTCCACCACCGTCACTAGAAGAGTGCCAGTTGCTGGTGTTCAAGCTTTTCAAGACGTGCCAAGAGTGTTCAAGACTGTGCCAAACCAGGGTCGAAACTGACGGTACACTGACCACAGTCTACACCATCTGCACTGTGGAGCACGTGCGCACATGGAAAAGCCAGCCCGTCGTCAACGGCGGACCAGCAGGGAACATACTGCTGACCAGCCACCTAGTCTTCTCTGGAGAGATTTCCCCTACGCTGCGGATGCTACGCCATATGAACGTGCAGGTCATCTCCGACTCGAGCTTCTATGAGCATCGGAAAGCCTTCGCTCTACCTGCAGCCCACAAGGTGAGCGATATTCCGGAAGGACAATGCAGCTGCACTTTCTTTTCCATACACCCAACTTTCGATTAAGCTACAAAACTGGAGCTCCAGTCACACTTCGATTAAATGAATAAATATATTAATTCAGTATGCGCATTCAATGGTATAGTTCAAAGAGATAAAATGTCATTCATCATGCTAAATATGTGCGATGGGCTACTAAATCCATGATACTTTAATTTATTACTGCTATGTGTAATATCCTGGGGCACTTCACTGTCTGGCATCATGTTGAGTGAGTCGGGTTCTCCGTGACAGTCAAGAAACAGAGGGTGGCTGGTAGCGCGGAAAGGGTAGGGCAGCTCCGAGGTAACTGGCGGCCGGCTGCCTCTTTTATGAAATACGCAAACGTAAAAACAGAAATCGCAACCTGGCACAATCTAAGTCACATTCAAACTCGCTGAATTGCGCTTTCCTTTTTCTTTCACTCAGTCGTTCATTCTATAACACTACACTGTGCATACATGAGCAGATGGGACTATTGTAGTACGCTCCATGCCTTTCTGAAGCAGTATTCATCTGCATGAACAGGTCTGGCCGCAAGAGATACAGGAGCTTCTCAACGAGTTGGAGAACAAAGAGGTGGACATCTCTGCTGACGGGAGATATGACTCCCCTGGGTTCTGTGCCAAGTACCTGCCGTACACAGTCCATGTCGAGCAGATCAACAAGATTTTCCACTCTGTTCAGGTCCAGCTAAGAGAGGTAAGTAGTCGGATTTAGGTGAACCAGTTGCAACAATCTCGTAATCTTTCTCTTGCGTTATGTCATCATTTACTTTACAGCTATGCACTATTTGGGCAAAATATTCATTTCACACCTGTTTCTAGTTTGAATGGGTCATGGCCAGTGTCAACATGGAAAAAGAGGACCTCCTCATGCCTCTGGATTTCTTCAAGGAGAAACATATGTTCATGCATAGTTCGTGTATATCAGTACTCGGCGGCCTTTAAGGTACTTTGTTCAAATTGGTAAAATCACTTATTATTTTGCTATCCACGGAAACTATATGGTGCAGCTATCAAGATCCGATCATTTGTGACTGACCGTCACCCCGCCACACAAAGGCACATGGAGACGCACGAACCTGGGATTGACCACTTCTTCGACATATGGCACATCTCCAAAAGTAAACATTCCTAATAGGCCATTCCTGTAGCTTTCATTTTCCAGTGATCACGCTGCAGGTTTCCCTGACACAACTCTGAATTTTAGGTGTGAAGAAGCTGACCGCAGCAAGCAAACGGGCTGTATGCCAAGACCTGCAAATCTGGATCCAGACGGCTACAAACCACATCTGCTGGTCAGCAGGGGCTGCAGGAGGCTACAAGAAGCTGCTCATCGACATCTGGCTCAGCATGCACAACCATGTCACCAACAAGCACTCGGGGCACGAAGGAACCTATGGAAGGTGCCTCCATGTTGACATGCCAGAGCCAACAGGACCATAGATTGATCCTAGTATGTTTTTGTTCTTCCAAATGATGGTAGTTTTTCTAAAACATATATCATCCTCGAACTCGCAGGCCTACAACCAATTCAGGAGCATCACTAGCGACAAACGGCTCCTGAAGGACCTCGCACAAATGTCTCCAGATGGCCAGACATATGCTTTGGAGGAGGTCCATAACGTCCTGATAGACTTCGCCTTGACGTCCCAGGCCTCCACGCTCCCTTCGATGTCAGAAGACAAGGGATAAGATTCAAAAGGGTGGGGCAGCATGTATCAGCGTGACCTGGATTGATCTACTTGATACGGAACCCCCCTTCCTCAATGAAGTGGCCTGGCATCGGGCATTCTAGTGATGGGGCGATATCAGAAACATGGACGGTATATAAGTGACGTTTCATTTAATACAATCAGTAGTTAGTAGCGCACTGTGGTGTCTGATTCTCGTCTTTGTGTCCTTGTATTTTAAGCGCTAAAATGTAATCCAAGTTCAAAAACCAACTAGCCCAACAATCTACTCCAATAAGATAATCCTTTGAATAAAGACACGTTTAATGATAATAATCTTAATTAATAGATTCGTAGCAGTTTGTTTTACACGTGCTGAAGAATAAATAACAAAAAGTAACGAAGCTGTCATGACGAAAAGAATCTCACTTACCAGGAGTGGACGACAGCGCCTTCCCCACCAGAGCCGACAAAAAAACCAAGATAGTCGTGGCTACCATAGCGCTAAACTTAAAATCAAATGGGTTGCCTTTTGAATTGGCCCGGAATTTAGAAATACGACTTCAACAAAGCTGCAGGTGTGTATTGAACGCACGTGCAAGGAAAGAGAAACGCATGCATCCAAGTCGATGGGGCATGTGGTCCCGTTATGTATCAGTGTTCCTATTTTATTTGCCAGGGGAAAAAAACGCCATGACGTAAGTTGTCCTTTTGTGTTTGTTTTTTCTTGTACATTTGTTGCCGTTGCTCGAGGATGTCAAGGGTACCGGTCAGAGCGCCTGTGGCGGCTTGAGTAGGAAACAGATGTCAGAAAAACAAAATATTCGGAGGTTGTAAACAACACTATTTTTCTGCTGCACGTGCTTAAAAAGAAATAATGAAAATTCAAATGTATCCTCACAGCGTCGTGCGACATGTTCATTACGAAAGCTTTCCACCGACAGTGTGTTATTTTAATAGCAGGAATATGACAACGAAGACACATTACTGATCACAGATAGCGAACAGTGTGAGCGTTGGAAAACAACATCAGAATGACGTAAAGCATCTGCTCTCTTCCGCAAGCACCGCAAACTAAACGCCAACGTTGTGGTTGTCCGATTTTATTAAGGCGAAAGCCTTATATGTCCCGTTACGCGAAAAGGCGTCGGTGTTGTGCCCGAAAGATGGCCATAAAAATACGTCATGAAACACGCGCTGCTCAAAGTCAGAGCGGACGCAGCTCAGATATAAAACACAAATAAAAGCACAGCAACGCAGATGCCTCCTCACGGAAGTGGTGAAACCGGCGGGGAAAAAAAAGCAAGCCCCGCTCAAGGTCAAATCGGACGCGCCTTAGAAATAAATCACAAGGAAAAGCACAGCAACGCAGATGCTTCGTCACGGAAGCCATAATGCCGGCGCGGGGCCTCGCCTGTGCATTGGGTTGCCTGATGTCACCGCCGGACCCGCGGGACTCTAATGCCTTCGCATTCCTACACGTGAGCAGTTTTAAGTGTCTTCGGCGTGTTATTTTGCTTGGTACGACGAAATCGCTGAGTCAAACCACGTTAGACACTGTCATCAAATCTGTTTGCTTCGCTGATGTGGCGTTGATAAATATGCACTGGCGACGCGGAAGTCGCGAGATCTTGGTGTTCGTGTCATAGGACCCGCGTGAACGAGGAGAATGTAGACTTTCTGCGCATAACCTCGTTTATTGTACATGCGTTGGTCAGGGCCAGCACGCTGAAGTCAACACCTTCTAGGCTGCGAGGCAGTGGGGCTGACTTTTTAACGTTATCGAAAAAGGCAAACGCAGGGCACAAATTGAACGGGGGGTGCCTCGCCAACGTTCGGCTCAAATCGGCGTCCTCGCTGATTGAGCACGTTTCACAGCCGAAAGCCACAGTCGCACATTCGTGCGACTGTGGCATCTTACAGCAGATACGGTGCGTTTGCTGCAAACATAATAGGGAGTTTTAGGCAGTGTTGTACGGTACGGCGTTCCTGAAACGCGTTTCTTTTAGGAGGAACGAAGGAACGCCGCAGTTCCATTTGGCATCTGTGGAACTGGAACGGGAACTCGTTACATTGTTACTAAAACGGAAAAAGGAACGGCGTTGTTTCTTTTTTTTTGCCCATCTGGGTAATTTTTATTATATATCTATGAGGAAAATTTTTAGTTACTTATCTTAGGGTTTATTTTGTGTGGTCCTCGCTTGGTGACTGTCGGGTGCAGGAGAGCTACTGGACATCGATCCTTTTTTCGGTGCCCGAGATTTCAGTACAAAAACAATTTCTTTTTGTCGGAGGAACACACAGAGACAGACGGTCATTTCAAACTTAGCTACTTTCTTTGTTTCCACAAATCCTGGTACACCCAGAATTCTAAGGCCGACAACAGTCATTACTGAACTTCCACAAAGAGACCTACAGTTACAACAAAAGAACAGGTTAACAGACATCGAACTCAACCTTGTATTCCGGACATTGGTTACTTAAAAGATACATAAAAATTGACCCTTATTCCTTCTCACCTTGTCCCCCACCTTCAAATTGAACAACAAACCCAACCTTCTGAAAACATTACACTCTTCACTTGCTCGTATTGCGGACAGCAACATCGCGAAGCAATATTTCAGAAGTTTGAACGGTCTTTGTTAGATTGAAATGTGTGAGGTTGTTACAAAATGGCCTTGCAATTTGAAGTAACAGCACATCTGGCTCGTCTGAATTGCCCACCGCAAACATGGATATGGTTAATAGCTGAGGTTTTTAAAGGTCAATATAGGCAACCTGCAATGCTGTTTGGTTCGGCGCCATCTAGCGACTGAAGCAAGAAATATTGGGTACCCCTGGGAGTGGCGGCTGCATTGTTCAAATGTGAGCTATTACTCTGGTGGCGCCGCTTAGCCTAGTGTCTGAAGCAAGAAATACTGGATATCCCAGGAAGCCGTGA